AGGGAAATATATTGTGGTTGTGGTCCTCAGACAAACTCTACTAGAATTACCTCAGTTAGAATATTAAATCAGAACCAAAGGTTGGAACAGGAGGGAAATGGCAGAAAACTTCAGGTCTGACTCACTTTCTTTCTGGGCACGAACATGTGACCTTGTTATTGCTAGGATTGGCTCAAGACCCCAGAGAGTAGATGTTTATGACTTTTCTGTAAAATGAAAGTGCTTTGGTTGTTAATATGGCTTCCTTCAGAATGATGATGTAAGCTGGGAGTATAGAAGAGCTATGGTATATATATATCTGGAAAAGGCAGTGATATAATTCAGTCCAAGTCTGAAGACCTGAGAACCAGGGGAGACCATAGTATAAATCTCAGCCTAATGGCCAGAGAAAATAATATGAGATATTCCAGCTCAATTAGGCTAGAAAAAAAGGTTGAATTCCTCTTTCCTCTGTCTTTGTTCCATTCAGGCTCTCAACAGATTGGATGATGCTCACCCACAATGGGGAGGACAATCTACTAAGTCCACTAATTCAAATGCTAATCTCATCCAGAAACATCCTAATAGACACATCCAGAAATAATATTTAATTTGGACACTCTGTGGCCAGTCAGGTTGACACATAAAATTATCTATCACAGCATCCTTATACATTGCTGGAATACACTGCTGTAGATAATGCTGCTACTGTGGAAAATGATATGACTCTTTAAAAAAACAATTACCAAATGGCCCAGAAGTGTATGTATTCGGAACAGTTGAAAGCAGGACTCGAACAAATATTTGTATACCCATATTCGGAGCAGCAGCATTCACAATAGCCAAAAAGTAGAAGCAACCCAAGGTCCATTGACAGATGAATGGATAAATAAAAAGTATATACTTAGAGTAGAATACTATTCAAGGGAAATTATGACACATGCAACACCATAGATGAACCTGGAAGACATTCCAACACCATAGATGAAACTTGAAGACATTCAAGTAAAATAATCCAGTCAAAAAAGAACAAACATTATACGATTTCACTTGGAGGTAACAGAATAGTCCAACTTAGAAAGAGAAAAGTGGTTGCCAGGTCTTGAGGAGAGAAGAGAATGAAGAATTAGTGTTTAATGGGTATAGAATTTCAGCTGGGGAAGATGAAAAAGTTCCAGAGATGAATGGTGGCGATGGTTGCACAGCAATGTGACTATACTTACGGCCACAGAAATATATGCTTGAAAATGGTTTATAAGATAAATTTTATGTTATGTAACTTTTACCACAATAAGAAAGTACTTAGGACAGTTTTGACATGCTACGTGTTTTATAAACATTAATTGTTACTATTATTTTTACTGAAAAAAAAATGAGAAGTAAGGCATGAAACTGGGAATGTAAATGGGCCAGATCATGTATGGAGGCTTGTACAGTTAAGAAATTTGGATTTTATCCTGAAGATAAAGATAGGGGATCGTATAAAGGTTTTAACTGAAGAAATAATCTGATAAGATTCATGTTTTAGCACAGCAGCTGTGTGGAAGATGCTTTTTAACGGGGGTGAGACTGTGGATAAGAGTTAAGAGACATAGAAAAATGTCATAGAGAAATTCTAAGTTATCGACACAACCTGATTAGGTGCTGCTCAGAGATGGCAACAATGGAGAGGATATCATATTTTAGAAGACTGAATCAACAGAATGTGGCTTTATCTTAAAAAAATAGGCTCTTAATTTTTAGGTATTTGCTGTGTGGAATCTGCTATGTCCCCTTACCGATTTTGGTTGTTCTTTTGTGGACATTTTTTTAACATAGAGTGATTTAATGACTGGATACACGGGAATAATGTTAAAAGTAGGAAAAAGTAAAATTACCGTATTTGTTTTCTAGTGATTTTTTTTTTTTTTTTTTAGCACTGGAGCTGCAGAAGCTTTTCTGGCTTTGGAAGTGTACTAGCATGATGTCTTTAGGGCACTCTGAAGACATCAAAATCCTTTCTGTGCAACCTAATGGAAATTTAAGTGTTGTATAAATATAACAGTATTATAGGAAGTGAGGAAGAGGTTTGAAGAAGAATTCTTTCAGAACAAAACCTGAATGGAAATAGGAATGAGAAAGTAACCAACAGAAAATACAATGAATTCTCCTTCCTTCGATTTCCATTTCAGGAAAGGGGGATTTTTGTAATGAAGAGGAGAGATAAGAGGAGTTGTTAAAGACCTCTGGATCTATGTATCCACAAACAATATTATGCCATTAGTCACCATCACCCTCCACTAGTATCTTTAAATTCCTATCCACTTCATACTAAAAACCTTTTTAAAAAATTAAAAAGAGACCTAATAAAGCCATTTATATTAAGGCATAAATATCTATGTAGGATTGTTCATTTTACCAGGGATACTTTATTTTAAATGAGGAAAAACTTATAAAGAATATCTAAGAATACTTATTGCTATTTGGTAGATAGTAAAAATGATGATGATGATGATGATGATGATGATGACTAATGTTATTTCTACTAATAGGTAAATCCTGACCCATTTCCAAAGAATTATGGATCATCCTTTAGGCCGTTAGACAAAGCTGATTTTCTAAGTAGCCTAAAGGTGAGAGAAAAAATTTTAAAAATCTGTATCTATATCCATATATATTTGTTTTTAAGGTATTGTCTAATATATGTTTGTCTTTATGAAAAATGCTCTGAGCGCTCAAAAACATTTTTAAAGAAACATCATTTTGATTTTTCTTATTAAACAATGATATTGTTTTTCTGGTTCTCAGATTCTCATTTTATATTTTTCTATTGTACCTGTAGGTGTCTCCCTAAGTCCGGGATTCTTCTATGTCCTTGAAACAATATTTGAAATGATGCCCATCCTATAGACCTGTAGGTGCTATAAACACTCTCATAAAAAGCACACCTCTAATAATCTGCTTAGATACATCTAATGTCACCCTTTGTGATCTGTGGTTAGTAAAACTAAATGTTGGTAATTGTTCACAAACTGCTGCATTCAAGTTAAAATGATTAGTTCATTAGCAGTGAAACTAGAATATGACCTCGGATATGAGATTATTATTGAATTTTATTTAATAAATCCATCCCTAATTCACACTGACTCATTTTAAATAAGTCAAATAAGCATTGCATATGTCTACAGAAGAAAGACATTTTGTTGTTCAATTCTTTCTGTGAATGGAAAGCTTAAGCTAGAGCTTGCTTAGAAGGGTAGAAGAGTAGAGTAACGATGATGATATTCTCTGGCTTTCTAGACTATATTTACCTGATTTCAATGTGTCTCATTGTCCCCTTTAGTTTTGTCATTCTAATTAGACCATGTGGTCATCAAAGCAATGTTAATGACACTATTCTGTCAGAATAAATGATTATCTAGACAGTAAATTTTGAAGGACATTAGGCAGATGGCCCTTTTTGTCACTAACATGTTCTTTGGTTTAAAGCATCAAGACATGTAAAATTGTAGATATATCTGCTAAAGGACTAATATTGAATCGAACATTTAAATTTATTTTAAAAGCATTGACTGAGTGGCCTTTTGCTAATTGTGCACAAGTCGTACACTGCCCAGCTCCAGGGGGAGCTATTTACTTTGTAGTTACACACTGTCGTAGTTCTGCATACTTTGTGTTGCAATTTTTCATCTTAAAGGAGGGGTAATGATAGAGCCCACGTAAAATGATTGTTTTAAAGATTAAATGAAATAATGCATATAACCTGCTTTGAACCATGAAACATACAGTAACAAATGAATAAATGTTTTTCTAGAGTAATTATTATACTTTATGCTAGCCTAACTGCTAGCCCTTGGAAATAAAAATAATATATGCATATAACATGGTTCTTCTTAAAGAGCTGGTAGCCAATTTGCAGAAGATGAACTCATAAAACTGACTACATGTTGTAAAGAAGGTTTCCCCATAGTGCTGTGAGAACACAAAAGGAGTTGCTAATTTTCTCCCGTGGGAGAAATGAAAGCTACAAAGTGGAGGCAACAACTAGAGCCCAAAACAAGGAAGGAACTAAAGTGGGCAGAGGCATGACTGTGCGTAACAGAGGTCTGAGGGAACAGAGCATCATGGAAATGGAAGCAGTTGATGTGGTTGAAGCATGAAATTCATGATAAAGTTGAAATAAAGGATATATATATTACTATTTAACATATCACTGTGAATTCTTTCTTAAGAATCGATTTCCTTCAGATAGTTCTCTGATTTCAAGTAGAAGATATTTGTATATTGAAGTAGCCAAATAATTCTATACTTTTTTAAAATTTGAGATACAAACTATTTTTCTTCACATCCTTTCTATAACTAAGGCCTTTGTGATGGATAATAGCTTTCTCAAGTGCCATTGAAGCAGGCACAGGGAGACATTTTGCATTTCCTTTCTGCCTAGGGTTGACCAAGGAGTTTATTTCTCAAATTGTGGCTGATGGCCCACTTGCTATGAAATCCTGTATGATTGCACATAAAAATGTACTTTAGCTCAGAATAGATCTCTTACTTTCAGTCTACTTCGTAAATCCCACACTCAAACCCAGGGTCATTGTACTAAATACGTGTTATTGGTCACCAAGAAATCTGTTAACTGGATCACTGGAAAATCATTCCATTTTCGGAGGAAAAACAAACTTTTCAGATATGTGCTTCATATGTGCTATGATGTCAAGACCTCACTTGATGTCAAAAAGTTCTTGGAAACTGCAACTTTAAACAAAGCAATGTATAATGAAACCAATTTTACCATGGGCTAATTGATATAAACAAGAGTTAAGTTTCTATGACATATTTCTGGTCACGAAAACATCACCAAACTTCTAAATAAATACTCCAAACACCTCTAATATGAAACATTGAAATAAATGTGAGGTATACATGCATTTAAGAAAGATTAATAAAAACAAGGTAATTGTTTTCCAACCTGCTTATTCCAGTTCAGGGGTGTAGGTGGCTAGAGCCCATCTTGGCAGCTCGGTGCCCAAGGCTGGACACCCTGGGCAGGATACTCGTCCATCACAGGGCCACTCACACTCACATACCTACACTCAGACTGGGACAATTTAGACATGCTGAGTCACTTAACGTGCGCATCTGTGGAACGTGAGAGGAGACCGGAGTAACTGAAGAAAGACACAGGAAGAGTATGCAAACTCCCACGGACAGTGGCCCCAGCGGGGAGTCGACTTTTTTTCTTCATCAACATTATAATGAAATAACACTGAAGGAGACGATTTTATTTAAGGACCTACTGTACTTGAATCCGCAGCATCAGTCATATAACGAGATGGTGTCTGCAACAGGCCAAAAAATTAAGACAAGCTGTGTTTACTGGCTCTTGAGTGAGAGAATTCGATCACTTACCCAAATGAAGAGACATTTCTCTCTGTAAACAAGGCTTTTTGACTGGAAGATTAGAGGATTTATTTTGATCATCAATCAAAAAAAAATGGGCAGAAAAGGATTTTTTTTTGTTGTTGTTCAAGATTCAAAGTGATGTTTCTGTCCTCCAAAATGCCAGACCTTATTGTAGATGACATTTGAGATAATTTTAGAATTCGTTTGCTAAGAATCCAGTTAAGGATTCTTTAAATATTTCATTGTTATCCAATCGATGAATATGAATCATTCTGCAGTGGAGTTAAAATGGTTCTGTGAAATATCATTCCTCGATCTTTTTTTCTGAAGTTGTAGTCAATTGGAATTACCATGATTTACTTGATAGAAAATAGCACGTTATTCACTCAAATATTTTGACTCATCAAAGCCTCTATTCAGTTGGACAATAAATTTGTAGACCAAGAAGAGTAATACTCAATGAGTATGATGTCAAAGATGCTGCCCCAAAGTATATTTTCCTGCATGCTTAGTTGTGCTGGAAATTCCTTTAACAGTAGTCTGCATCTTTATTCCAGTTAGAAATGAGAGTAAACTGTAAATAACTCTGGGAGAGGTATTAACAATGTTTACAGATTCTTTTTACACATATACATTTTGATCTGGGAGACATTATAAAAGAGCTAAGGGTATAGAAAAAGTATTTGTGTAATAGAACTGGGGAAGGAGCAGAGCAGAAGGGAAGGTTGAGGCACATTCTTACGATGGGTTTTTCAGAACAGTGTGAAGTTGGCAGCAAAATTTTTTTAATTGCCTGTGGATAGTTTATACTTTCATTTGCCTTACTATCCCACTCTTAATTCTCAATGAAAATATAGCTTTACCGAACCCAAATTTGGTTTGAAAACAAGGAGGGCACAACATATATATCATAGGACATTTCCTGAAGAGAATGTTGACAACCGTGCTCTCCATAGAAACCAAGAGTGGAAAGAAAATAGTGTGCTAAGGAATGCTGCACGTAAATCTCCTCTGTATAGACACATTTCTGCTGTCAAATTCTTTATTTTCATTAAATAACTTAAGTATTTTTAACAGATGTGTAAATGTGTATTTGTGTATGTACCTTGTGTGTGGGGAGGAGGGCAGGGGAGTGGACTAAAAGGAAACATTTTTTACTTTATATCTTTGCTGAGAGTCCGTAAAATGATATTGAAGATGTGTAGGTGATGTGGAAGTAACTTAATTATGGGTATGGACAGGTATAAGGTTTTCTATTCTAAGATTCAGATTCCAATTTGCAAATACATTTCTCTTTCCTGCTTTCTGTCCACTTGATCGAATTTCTGATCTAGTCTTTTATGGTTGTGCACCTAAGACTTAGCATCTCATCTCAATTTCAGTGAACATATTGAGCTGTGAAAAGAGCAAGAACTTGAACATAAGAGCGACCCAGGTTCTAGTTCTATTTCAGCCTCTTGCCAGATGTTGGATTCTGTGCAAGTTATCTATTTGTCCTGCTGAGCCTCAGTTTCCTTAATACTTTAATATCCTCTTTGAATGTTTTTTATATGAATGTGTGAGTCAGAGTAAACACTGAAAAATTTTAGTTTTAATTCTCTAAGGGAGAGAAAAAAATGTGTGGTTTATCCAATAAGGCAATGAATAAAATTTTTCATTCAGTTAAGACTAGAAGGAAAAAAATCAGATTTTTTATTTTACCTTGACTATTAAAGATATCGGAGGACACTAGTAGATAAAGTATGTTATTTATTTAATCTATTTCCAAAGTGTGGATTTGTGATATATAGAAATCTACAGCAGCACCTCCAAAGTAAGCTCTGCAAATGAATTTGATTTGCGTCACCTTGTCACTTTAGAAACAATATCATAAATATAAATGACAAAGTCCCAAGGAAAGACAACAGACATGCCACTTTGCTAGCTTTCGCAAAAGCTAATTTTCCATGCACTCTCTAGTGTATTAAAAAAATGAAATGTAACATCAGCGTTGAAGGGTGTCTCCAGATGGCCTTTTATTAACTACTGAGAGGCTGCTTCTAGTCTCCATCAACTGCACACATCGCAGCAACAATTTTCACCTTTACATGCAATCAGTTATCATCGTTGGGTAAGATACTAAATGATAAGTTGGAGGATTGTTCCTTGAAATGTTTTCTGAAATACCATGTGTATGGTATCGTTCACATGACCACAAATCTGGATTTGTTCTTTTTACTTGAAGGTCAGACAATGTTGGTTTGAAAGCTTGGGAGCTTCACAGGTGAAATCTGGAATTGGCTCCATATGTGGAAGGCAAGGAGCAGTGGAAAAAAGAGGCAGATCAGTCCAGATTGGTAGGTGGCAGTTTTAATAAACAAGAAAACTTACATATAAAGCTTGTCTTGGGCGCCTGCAAGACAAGTAGATCTTCACACCAACCAGCCGGAATCTTAAGTTTATACAAAGTTTATATGTGTTCAGTCATGTATACCGACTGGTCTCAACAACATCTTACTCTCTCAAGGCTGAGCCCTTGAAACGGCTCTGGCTGTAGGAACAGTGGGCAGAACGTACATTCCACGGTTGGGAGAGAATGGGGAGCCTTTGATTGCCCAGATCTGATTTGAGGGTCAACTTGTGGTCACGGGCCTTTAAAAACCTCCTGCAACAGAGGGATAATCCAGAAGATATAGGAACTGACTAAAACACAGTGAAGAAGGCCCAGGATACTCTGAATATCTTTAGAATACAGGAAAATCTAGTTGTTTATTCAGGGAGCTGTGAACTGGGTACTACAACAGCAGATGGGGCCAAGGAGCTGAAATGGACAAGCACAATTCCCTCGAATTCAATTTTACCAAGGCATGTGACATTTTCCATAGTCTATTCTTTCCCCTCTCCTTTTCTAACAGATAAGAAAATTGACACTTAGCAGGGTGAAGTAAGTTCCTGAAAGTTTCACAGGCAAATTGTGGTGAAGCAATGAATGAGCCCTCAGATGTCTATATTAAGCTAACAGTGTGAAGCAGGACAAATTGTCAACAGCCTCTGCACT